GATATAGAATTTTATTGAGATGCATGATCTTATTTTATTGTATCTATAATATTCAATTAATTTTCCCTACGTTACTATGGCAATGTAATATATTTTTTATATGGCAATATTTAATTTAAATCCGTAGATGTGTCCACTCCATGTAGACAAATAAACGCAGTAGAATCCGTAGCAGAATGGCGTCTCGATCTCAATAAATGGGTGCGTTCACCTAAATAGTGCAGTGGGTGTTGGGTTTTATTGTTACGACTGGCTTAACGAGCCTGTTTTATATGCCCTGCGCCTCTAACTGTTACTCCATTTAAGAAAGGTTACATGCTGATTCTTTCCTAGTTGCTTAGGTTGACAACCCAGCTGAAATATACTGAAACTATGTAGCTAAAGTCCGCGCTTTCGTTTGCATAAAATTAGTAATTTGAGTGGTTAGTAATGTGACAAATTTGAAATTAATTTTAGAAATAAATAATAACATTTTCTATACATGTATTATATACAATCTATCTTCACATCATATTTCAATACGATCCGTTTAGCCGATTACTAGTAATATGACCACAGACAAACACTTTCCAATTTATAATATTAATATGTAGGTATAGTATAGATAGGTATCATTATATAATTTGGATTATTAGCGGTAATGAGTACAGTAGAGTTGTCTTATAATTGTAATTATTCAAGTTCCGTGCTTCTTAAATTCAATAAAAGGATCTATATTTAACTTGTTCAGAAATCTTATACCACCGCCCCACCGGTCATGCACAACAAATTCTAAGAACTTCGGAGAGCATTAAGTCTTCATGTGAAACTTCTTAAAATTATATATAGTATAAACTCAATATACAATATATAATACTAATAATCTAATATTCATACTTACAATTGATTAATATTAGTTGTACTTTTGCATATGAGAAGAAGTATCTCAGCTATTAAAAAAATAATAATAAATAGATAAGTAAATAATTAAGTACTATGATTGATATAACACTATCAATGAAATATAAATCAACTAACATATACTGTTATTATATTACATGCGCTATGTTATTAGTAATTCAACTAATAAAAATTTTAAAAATATGGGAGTTACTGAATTTTTTAATGTCTATAAGTAAAATTGGATGCTAAAATGACACACAAATGGTTTCTCATAAATAGTAATAGAGTATACCTACTTTATATATGTAACTGTACAAAAATATATATATGTAACTTTTAAACTTGACAAAAAAATATATAAAAACTAGTATTTGAAGTTTGAAGGCGGTAAGGCGGTACGATCCGTGTTCCACGAATGTCATGTTGACGTTTACGAGGCACGTCACAAATAAAATAAGAATTTAACTAAAATACCTCGTGTGGGGGCTCGTAAACCAACCAGCATGGAATAGTTAACCAAAAAAGTACACCTATCAAATATCACATTCATTACGGACCAATAAATGCGGTGTGTTTTTAAACGTAAAGACTCATTGGGCTTAGAATGTTACATATTATGTATGATATTAATAAATACTAGTTGTGCCCGGTTTCGGTTGCAACGGTTTCATCCGCATGAAATTTATAGGTCATATCTTATTCTGATGTGTAAGCTATATTACTGTAAAGTTGCATCAAAATCCGTTGAGTAGTTCATAAACTTTCGCGTTTATAATATTAATAATGTAAGCCTAAACTAAACTGTGTTTTTTTTTGTTCAAAATGCAATGCTTATGGTAAAGAATAAAGCAGCGTATACCTACTATGTTTAGATACATGTGAATTCTATTTGTTATCTATCAGCATATTCTATTTAAATTTTTTTTTTAAACCAATTTATTAAATATTTTAATTGATGTCACCAAAGCGCGCCGCTCAGGTGTAATTTGAGGCGAAAGATATGGTGTATTAGATATATTCCGGGGACAGTATATCGGGACATACATGTTCAAAGCTTAGTCTTAGTTATCTTTGTTTGTAAACACATATATCAATACATACAGCTTTTATATCGAATTTTAAATGAACTATATATCAGTGGTATATTCTATTTTCAAATTACTTGTTCAATTGAATATACTTTGAGTTATTAATACTAATTAATGCATAATTTATCCATGTAAATAAGTGGATGTTAATAAATAAATAAACATTATTTTGTTTGAAAAATCGTACAATTTTGTAATAAATGGGATATCGTGAAAAACATAACTTATTTAATTGTTAAGTAAAAATTAAGTAGGTATTTTGAAATGTAATCTTTGGAGAAAACTGTTATTTAATTTAAAATGTCACTGAGATGTATGTACATGTATATGCCATCTCATAGATGAGAGATGGCTTAGTGTGAAACAGATGAGATATAATATTCAACATATTATATGAGAATACAAATTCCTAATTTGAAAAGTAGGTATAATAAAATTAACCGCGTGAAGCCAATTTTTCGTCGCAAGATAAACTTATCACTTAATGGCCACATGAGAGCCGATACGGTGCCGCATAAAAATAAATTTAAAAAGACTTTAAAAGCATCTGTCTGTTCGCGCCTCTCACGTAATATCATTTGCATTTCCTTATGACTACACATCACAATCTCGCGACCGATTATTTGATATTTTAAGTGTATTTTTGTGTAACTGGAATGCTGGTAAATAAACCGACGGCCTGATAGAAATCATCTCCTACGAGTATATACATGAACAGCTCCGCTAACTTATGCGTTTCTCTTCTTAAGAACTAAGTTGCTATGCATTCATAACCTGTGTTTTCAAAGCTATCATTTCAAACTGGAAAATAGCTTAAAAATCGAGTTGAACAAAAGTCAGAACATAAACTAGCTACTACTTTGAAAAACTTATACATACTTTGGGAGCGACCGTACAAATATATTTAATACATGCTCGTACATTGGTATTGTATGGCATTGGATTGTACATAGCTATGAATATAATAAATATATATATATATGTTTATATACTATATCACAATAAAGTTTTATAAGTATCTAATATAGGACTACTGCGGCATAGCGAGCGGACTTCTACTTGTTCCTACAATCTATTTACTTTAGTTAGTACACGATCGTGTTCTCACTTCAAAGAACAAGCTCCTAATTATCACAATGCAAATCGTACAAACATTAGTAAAATGTTAGCCAACATGTGTGTTGGCGGCAAAGCCCGGATCAAACAATCGGGCGAGCGGGCAAACATGAATGTTTGGGCTATCGCCACTTTCGGTTCTGTTCAAACACCACTGTTGTTTGTTCAAGTGCCAGTGACACGCCACTGCGGGTATCTTGGTCCACCTTTATACGACCTCTTTAAATCCTATAACTATCCCATTACCGGTTGAAATACTTATTTTTTAGGGAGGCAAGGTAGATCAGATTACGCTGGTGGTCGGGCCGAAACAAGGCGACACCTTTTGCTGGTACTGGTTGGATTTACCTGTCAGAGTTTTAACAAGCTAAGCTAAGTAAGGGATGACAAAGGTTATATATAATGGCCTGTGCCGTCAACATATTTTATAACAGTACTATATTTTATGATTAAGTCTAAATATATCTAATCCCGGGGTTTCAGACAGGTGATGTGTCGGTTAGGTTATCGGCCTTCCTAAACTACATATACTTGAATGCAATAATGACAGCTTTATCCGTCATACTCATTACTGGTGGTACATATATAAAGGCTGGTTCGATGTGGAGGGAAATAACGGAGACCTTAATCCAGTGGGACAACACAGTCATCAACAACACAGTAGGGCAGCAAAGATATTTTTGCACTGCGTTATGCCTGGGATACCAATGCAAAAAACTCGTAAGGGACCAAGAATTGCTTACCAGTTATAAATTGATCGATGAATTAATATTGTTATCTATAATATAGAAGGATATTCTTTATGGTCGCCTGTTCACAATGGTTGGTTCACGTAGTGCCTTAATAAACGTTTCTTTTATTGCCTTTTTAATTACTTTAATCATCGACATTAAAAAAACATAAAAACTTCGATTAAGGTCTAGTAGTACCTTTACGGAAACCTCCACGTAAATAGCTATACACATAATGTTTACGTATTTTACGAATATGTATGTATATCAATATGATATATTATGTGGTTATATGTACGGATTTCCTAAAATATACCTATGTGTATTTTAATATTATTATTGTTATTAAAATGGTTCACTTATCAATTACGTATCGTATGATATTATTTTATCACAACTATAGTTTTAACAAACATCTATTTTTCAAGGAATATCTATAAGTTGCATATTCATAATTTTTTGTCAGGCCGTAATTGCCATACTTATTCTATGAAGTAAGATCTCAAAAAGTATCTAATGGCAATGATTTATATGAAACATGAAATTACAGGATGATGCTTGACATCTTAATTCTTTGGAATGGCAATGCATACCTACTTTATATTAGCAGCTCTTGAATGCTATCATAGGTGTCACATAAGAACTTAATATCCGTAGTGCTGATCATTTAGAAACGCGACAGCTACGTACGTACTCAGATGGAACGTCAGCTTATTTACCATTAAAACATTTTTTTAGAGATATCCATGCAGACGACTGGAATATTTTCGATTTTATAAATTTTTGCCTCTAGATTATTTCATTCAGATATATACATTGAAAAAATTAGTACTGTAATAGACTTCAAAACATAGATTTACAGAATACAAGATAATTGCAGAAAAATAATGACGAACAAACTATTATAACAGACGACTGAAATATTTTCGATTTTATAAATTTTTGCCTCTAGATTATTTTTTAGGGTAATCGTCAAACAAGCATATAGCCCTTTTGATGGTAAACGGTTACCGTAGCCTAAGGACGCCTGAAACACAAGGGGTGTCACGTGCGCGTTGGCGAAACTGTCATGAAAACAATCCGTTCCAACATGTAAACATGGCTGTATGTGCGCAGTTCCCTTTACCTTTCCGTTAAAGGATAAATAAAACTAAATAAAAAAACAATCTATTCTTTGTTCCAGGTGGGTTGTGGTGGCAGGTGCGTGGCGCGCGAGCGTTCTAAGACCACCGACTACTCCTGGTACAGCACGCAACGACCGTCACTCCTCGCTCCTCCAGCTGGCAGCGTGGGGTGTGCCGGCAGCGTTGGCCGCCGCTGTTCTTGTCACTAGAGACGTTGATGCTGATGAACTCACAGGTGAGATTTTTACGCATGATACATCATTAATATGATATCAGGTATTCTGTAAGAATGAAATCAGAAAAGGTTGCCATAAAGTTATTTTAGTATAAATACCAAAATATACATTGAAAAATAAATTGAAAAAATGAGTACTGTAATAGACATCAAAACATGGATCAGTAATTACAGAAAAATAATGACGAACAAACTATTATTAGTTACATTAGTACAACACTATTGTAAACAAAATGTTTAGGCTATTTATTACACTCAATTTTGTGAATATAATAAAAAAAAATTCCTTGTTAGACCTCAACTAAATAATTTAAACAGTGTACGCATGCAAATTTATGTTTCTATCTTTTTTTTTGGCAATATATAGATATTATTATTATTGTAACTATTTAGTTGATAAATTTTATTTCAGTATAGATAAATAGTTATTACATGACTACATATTTATTTCTATGTGATGGTAATTGTTTTTAGCTACTTTAGCAAGAAGTTCCACGCCGCATATGGAGAGCAATTCCGTGTAAAGCCAACTACCTACCATATAAGTATCGTTAAGAATAACATGGCTAGAAAGCATCGAATTTCATAAATATTAAAAGCTTGCAAAGTGTATGTACCCAGATATAGCTACAAGAAAACTTGTACGTTAAATTGACTGTTTATTTAATGCAATTTACATTTTTAACCGACTTCAAACAAAGAGGTTCTCAATGATTTCTTTTTTTGAACAATGGTGGACTCTTCATTACTCCTTCATTTATAAAAAAAGATTTGGATATCTGTTTTATTTGATTGCTCATATGTATGTATACCTATATGATGACGTCGATGAAACAAATGACAATTAAAATCGTCTTTTTGTAATGCCAAGTTATACTATATTATTAAACTTCTTTTTCTAATACTAATACACATGCCTATCTCGTTCTAAAATTTAGAATTCATGGTTAAATTAGGTAAGTAGGTACCTACTTTACAATAGGTTTACTTCCGGCAGAACAATACCTGTAGTTCTTTCTGTATAATACTTAGATCAATCGATTATGTTCCAAATCTATTATATCCGTATAAAATCACAATAGGCCTGATTAAAGCTCAGTTTATAGTCCTGTCTCGGTTGTTTAATTGGCGGCTTTTACAAAGCGATTGAATGTTGTATGAGTGCTCAGAAGCACGTACTCATACTACAAAGGCATTGGGAATTGTACCCATGAAATACCCCAAGTATTGTACCTATTATCGAAGGTCTCAATGTACTGACTTGTGAAATCTAAACTACTTACTAAATATTATAAAGACGAAATATTTGATTTTTTATTTGTAATTAATGTTAGCCAGGAAGTATACGGGTGAATTTTAAATATTGTAAAGAAATAGACTACAGTTGTAGCCCGCAAGGGAAACCAAATAGAACAATACAAAGAAGAAAGTGTTACTTTAGAATACCTACAATGTTCGAATAATAAAAGAAATTTATTATAGAAAAAAAAGTAATAAGTGGCCAGTATTCAGCTGATTTTAATAATTCCTTCACCCATAGATAACAAAAAAAAATTAACAAGTAAAGGATTTATTTTATTAAGAAAAGTCAATATACAGAAATAGAAATAAATAGAAATAAAATAATTTTATTCAAATAAACTCATTACAAGCACTTTTGAATAATCTACCACTCATTCGGAATGCAGATTCATCACAGGAAGAATGAGCTAGAAACTTGTGTGTTGCTCTTTTTAATAGTTGTTTTTTTTATATAAATAATTACAGTATAACAAGTAAGAGGCATGCGATAATCAACATAGAAGTCGCTACGCACTCATTATTAATGTAATCAGATAATATTGTCAGTGCTATATATTTAAAGTTTTTCTATAAAAACATTATTATCATTAACGAATTCTTCAATTTTATAGTAAGCTTTTTGCAAAGGAACTGTTTTATTTGACATTTAAATCTTTTTTCTGGCAGATTTATAACAGATTCTGGTATTTTATTGTAAAACCTTACGCAATTGCCGACAGAACTCCGAATACTCCCAAATAAACAGACAGCAGAACATATGTCTATAAACAATGATCACTACCTTCCAAATACGCCCGAACTCAACGTGTCTGTTATTCTAGTCTAATGAAAAAAAAACAACACGAAGAAAACTTGTGTACATAAATTCTACGTATTCTTGAAATAACAACGTCGCATTGTCTTGGGTACTTATATTTATTTATTTTTTATCAAACAAACTCCTTATCATATAAGCTAGGGACGATTAAATCCTAATTTAAAGACAAGCGCCGTCTTGTAGAATGCCGCACTGATAATTGTTACTGAAATAATAATTAATATAACTAGGAATTAACATTTAAGATAATAAAGTCTAATAAGTAGTCCCTTTGTTGTTAGTGATTACGCTGGGACTTTGTAGAGGCTCTTCCAATGATAAAGTGGTGTACAATCTTACATATTTCTTCTCTTAGCCCTAATTAAGTAACAATGCTACTAATAATAATTGGAAAATAAATTAAAATCTGTAATTTTACAATTATATACTAATCCTTTCGCAGTTTGACAACAATTGAAAACAACAATTTTGTTCTGTGTAACTCTTAGATGGTAGGTATATTACAAGGATAGATATACCATCTAAGAGAATATTATAAGGCCCAGTTTTTAATCTATTTTAATTGATAATAAAGCTGCCAAAGCTATTATATATGTAAATAGTTTATATTATGTTTTGATATAAAGTCTGTTGAGTATTAAAACAGAGCACAAATTCTGGTTTATTATAAGAATATTTTAGCACATCCTTTGATATCCCTAAAGATTATAGGTCTATGAGATTAATCCTTTTACGTTCATTAGTCCAATATAAGGCTTCGTTATGCTGTATATCAGGTGTCCATACTATATTGCATGATTACCCGCTCTTTATGTAGTAGATAGATATCATAAAATATTTCAACAGACGTTCTATAAATTAATGTTAAGCTTTGTCAACAATATTTCAATCTAAAATATAGAAGATAATAAATTGTGTAGTCAATGAAACGTTAATGAACTTCTCTTGAAAATTATATTAAAAAAAAGAGACAACAAAAGGATCATTTTACATTTTTGCACAGTATTCTATTTTTCTAATTATTCTGTTATACCTACTAGATAATTGTATACAGCATTACAACAATTACTTAAGTTTGATTTGATTTAAAGATATGCATGTACCTAATACCAATCTTGTAATACTGTATATTGTATAAAACACAGAATAACATACCTACCAAGTATAAACGTATCATCAACTGATTTCTCAGGCATATTGCAGTTTCAATCGTGCCACGCGTATTGTGTTTTTATTTTTATTATTTCCACTTCCATTATGGAGTCCGAAAGAAATGCTCGACCATTATTCGAGCCGTTAAATACGACACCTTTCCTCCTCGTACGTTCATATTTCAATTTTAAATCGGCCTTTTTAACCGCTGCCTTATTAATGCAAGCCTTTTTTCTCTCGCCGTGTTTGTGTAGGTGTTCGCTTTGAGAGCTGGTTTAGTCGAAACGGAATGTTATTCAGCTCAATATAGGTACGAGTAGAAGGTACTCTGGAAACAATCCGCATCCGCAAAAGCCTTACATTTATTTGTGCTCATTTCTTTAAAAGTTTATATTTTTCTTTTCCAGGTACTTGCTTTGTGGGTAATCAGTCTACTAAATCTTTATTGGCATTGGTTATCGTCCCGGAGTCGATATGCCTACTTCTTGGCTGCCTGTTCCTTGCATCGGGCCTTCGCGCAATACTGCGGCGGCCTGCTCCGATACCAGCTCCGTCTGCTCTCTTGAGCGGCCCTCCGCAACCACCAACAGACCAGAGTTTACTACGACTAGGAGCCTTCGCAGCTTTATACGCCGTGCCATCTACTTGCATACTAGCAACATGGATGTACGAGTATGCTTGGAGAGATCACTGGTTATCAGCTCCTATGCCATCTACTGAACCGTCAACCCATCCGCATCCTGCATTTTGGGTGTTCTTGTTCAGAATTTTCGCAACGCAAATATTGGGTGTTATGGTCGCAGTTTGGATAGCGACGCCCCGATTAAAAGCCTTATGGCGAATGATAGCTGGACCAAGGAAACCACCTTTAGCAAAGTGCCCATCCGGTCCGCCACCTACGCCTTTAACCTTACATTGTTATGCCACTCACCCGCATACACTGTCGCGGTCACAGATTCACAAATACGCGACGTACAGACCACCACAGCAACATTCGTACAGAAAGCCAAGACATTATCATTACTCTGCTGGTGAAACTATCCTTTGACCGGCACATTGGTAGCCGTCTGCTCAAGTTTCAAAAGACACGTCACTATAGCAAGAGCGCCTCAGATTGCATTTAATAATGATAGGACTGTATATAATAGAATATGTTTCATTGATGTAAAATATAAGGTTTTGAAGTGCCATTAATTACGTTTGTATAGTTTTAAGGCTGAAATAGACCAACAATGGATTGGTTAATTAAATTAGGCAATTACAACATGCCAAGTCTTGTCATGCAAAGGGCGAGCAATGCATGTTTTCTTAAGAACAATGTAACATACAATTCAAGTCATCGATTATAGTAAAATATTTAAATAGACTGTAATAAAGACGTATTACTAATCTTTATTAAGTATATTTATTATTTAACTGACTATACAATACATGAAAAATTATATTAATATTATCAATAAATTTAGTAAAGATTACTATGTAAATATTTCTACTTAAGTAGGCAACGAAAAAATCATCCTATAGGGAAAAATATACAAAGTTATTTAGGCATTTTTGAGCATTTGCTTATATTTTCCTGAATAATAAAATTATTATTATAATACATACTGTATACGTTATATTGTAAGTATCAATAACGAGGAAGTATTATAAGATATTGTGGGTAATTTCATATAAGAACAGTAACTATACAGCGCGTCCAACATATCATAAATTGAAAGGCGAAACTACTGGCAACAACATACATGCGTCATGATAATAATATTTTGCTATGTAGGCACTTCAAATATGTAATGGCAATAAAATAACCGCTGTAATTTGAACTAATTGTAAGAGCAATATCTCAGATCAATCTCTCATATTTTTGCTACTTCACAGATATGTTGAACACACTGTTCTTTTTTTTTTGTATAAAGTTTATATATCACGAATGTGTATAAATAAATCACGATTAAGGAAATTAGTATCACTGTGCTGTTGTAAGTATAGCGACGAGAACTGAGCTTATTACACTAACAAAATCAGATAGGTGTGCGTGGAGTATATTTTATTTTATATTGTACCGTATACCTTCATGACCGCAATTTCAGAGATAGAGTAGCCAAAGGCATTGTCAACTACCAAATAAATAATTTTCATGTACATACATTTCGCAGAATACCTATAGGTATATCAATCAATGATTCAGTGTAAATCTACCGCCATATCTGCAATTAATTTTAATTAATTATAATCCAATCAATACAATTATGTTGCGTATTTTATTACTTAACCTCGCAAAGTCGTTCAGAAATATAAGTTACAAAGGTTTTATTTTTAATTCACGATATGTTGGGTGTATAAGTCGGGATAGTAAAACTTTAGTTAGTATTTTTTAGAAAATTATACAACTACTGAACTACATATATAGAAATATCTATAAGTTATCTATCCCACCATTTTTAATGTTATTCCTAACCCATTGCATTGAGCATGGTGTATTAGGTAGGTACTAATTAGTTCTAGAGTGTCAAGGTCAAACTCATACCCAGGAAATTTATTATTTGGAGATGCTACATTATATTTCTAATATAGTGTTACAATGCGGTTACAGAAGCCGTGTATTGCCAAAATAGTATTATATTGTAAATACGGAATTTATTACGTAAATATAGTATTTTGTACATAAACTTAATGTAAGGTATGTTGAAATAAAAGTTATGTATATATCATGACCTTATGTTTTATTTAATGCATTATCTACCATCTACCACCATAAAATAGTAGTTCCTGAGATACATATTGACTATATACAGATATAATTGACTTTTCGCTGTCAATATACGGAGGCAGACTGTATATTTCTGTCGTTAAACTTGCTTTCTAACCTGTATACCAATAAATATGGAACTGAAACATGAAATAATGTATAGAAAATACGGGCTTCCTTACACCAAATTTACATCTTGAAGGGTATATGATAACATGAAGTCCTTTATGTTATATATGTAAACTAGCTACCCACCCCGGCTTCGCACCTTTGTATGTGTATTATATAGGTATATGAATATTCCTCTAGAATCACATTAAATAAAAATCGCTTCAAAATCCGTTGCGTAGTATCAAAGATGAAAGAAGCATACATAGGGACAAACAGCGAGGGCAAATTTATTTTATACCATGTAATAATGATGATGATGACTAAAACATTTAAAGGAACATTTTGCTCTACAACGAAATCTCTAACTCGTAACAATGCTTACAGAAATAAAACCTATTATAATAATAAACTCTATTATGTATATACAGCTCAGAAGGGAAAGCACAAAACACTGACAATTAAAGAAAAATTAAATATTTTAGACCGCCTAAATCGTTACAAATCTTTTAGTAGTTGACATACATAATTAAGTATAATTTGTACTTCAGAGTGCATATACATATATAACATATAGAATCTTATCACTGAATCTGTAGTTTGTAGGATTACAAGGTACTCTTTTGCAAAAAATTCCGGACTATAGGGGAGTACTGTATAATCCGACAAATTCGATGGTCCGACACTGCCTTGCAAAACGTTTGTCGGATAACCGGGGGTCAACAGCATTATTATTTTTGCATATCCGTCACCCGTGTGCTTAAACCTAATCTACCTATAGAGCATTAATCTAGCAATAGATACAGTCAGGTACCAATCTTCATTGCACTCGTTGGCCCGTGAATCGCAACACTACTAAGGCCCTCTGTGACTCCTCAGTGTGCGATAAACTATATGAAGTTGTCATAAAATAGAAGTTCAATTGAAAACATCTGTGATTGTCATAACAAATATATACTTAGTTATAAATCGAATATCATAATTTATTAAAAATATTTGGTAGGCGCCTAATATGTAAAAAGTTATTTTCGCTAAGCAAATAGTCACTACGTCTAGTATTGTTTTACTGTATGTTCTCTAATGATTGTATTTATAATGTCAATGTCAATTATGACAGTTCGAGTTTCGTGGCTGTCTCTGTGATCTGTGATGCACATTCACTCATTTTGGTCATTCACTTGATTCAATTCGATTGTGAAATAAAAATAAATAATCATTAAAAATACTTATCTATTTATCAAAATCGAACACTATAAAGCATGGATTCAATAATTACGCCCATGTGATAAAAATACTAAGAAAGTTTACTTCCTTTTAGTGAAATAATATTTTTTATCTTTATTGGTTCTGGGGCTATCACCAAAATAAAATCTTACCATGGCTGATGCAGCAGCAGCACGGCGCGAAGCTCGTAGAAGAAGAATATTAGAAAATAGTCATAACAGACTTCAACTTATATCTGGAAAATCTAGCGACGAATGTTGTACAGGTACTATTTCAATAATTTACATAACTTGTTTATTAATCTGGAATTTTCTTAATCTTTTCTTTTTCATTTTAGTATCACCGGCCAGAAATCCAATTCCCGAACAAAATTACGAACTTTCTACAACCTCAGAGAGTAGCAGCAGTAAATCCACTCTCAATAATGGAGTACTTATTGTTGAGTCTGAAACTTTTGATTTGTTGACACCAATGCATGACATTATTGCAGGCAATGGTGATGTTGTTAATGAGAATGATTCAGCGAATGTTCTCTCACCAGTGGAGACAGAACAAACATCTACAATTTGGGATAAATTGATCAGCCACAAATATGACATAGTTTTGTTATCCCTACTCATTCAACTCTTATATGGATTATCTTTTATAACACTTGACAGTACATATATTTTTCTTCCTTTTGCCATATATGTTATTACAAAATTAATATTTTTTCCTACAAAAACTAATTCAAAGTTTGCAAATGTGATTCAATTACTAAATGGTTTATCACCACAGACTGATAGACTACAAAAAGTACTTAGTATCACACAATGGTCAGGAGTGATTTTTCAAGATGTATGCATTTATCTATTCACTACTATTTGCATCCAATCACTTTATAATACAATAATTGAAAATTTTGCAACATTATAATTACTTGGAACCCCAAAATGAGGGCAATAAATTGACTGAGTGTTATACAACAATAGCGGGCTAGATCCTGACAAGAATGTTCCATAGTTTTGATTGCTTGTGCCTTTATATATAAGTGAGACATGACATATGTGCGTTTTAGTCACATATTGCCATTTTAGTTTTAAAATAGGTACCATTTTGTAAATAAAGACAGTTAATAAATTTTAGTTCAAATTAACATCTTGCTCAAAATTCTAAAGAACTCTTTTTATGCATGCATTTTATTTGCGAAATTTTAAGCAATCATGCACTTTAAATTCATGTCCTCTGAACAATGTGAATTTCCATTAGCTCTCTTACCATCCAAAATGTGGATGATTCCACATTGTATTGAAAGATGTATGTATAATGTTTCAATGTCAATACAATTAGGTTTTTATTACAACATTGTAACAGATATGGACTTTGCAGAGGTGGTCATCACCCTCATAAAGTACCAGAATGTATTGTGTACGAGCCACAGTGATGACATAGAATGTATGCTCTATATTCAAACATGATTAGCCCTTCCAAATCTCAAATCTATGCATTTTTAATTATTCAATTTATTATTTCCATGTGAATCATATTTATTGTTGGAAAAATGCAGTGTATGCCAAATTAGATTAACTATTTCAATCTTCCTGTAATATTTTTATATACTTACATAATAATAATAAGATCTGTTATTAAATTGTCCATCATATATCTAATAAGGCCTATAAGGACAAATATTTTGTTGTACATATTTGTATAATCTTAACTTTGCATTACATATAAGAATTCTCAGGATTTGTGTAATTAGGTTGAAACATATGAAAAATATGTCATCCATAAATTTATATACTTCATAGAGTGGTGATGTAATCATCTTGCTTTGAATTAAAAAGTCCCAAATTAAATTTTCAGTGAGACTTGTGATGTATTTCAGGCATAAGTGTTGCAAGTTATACACTTAGGCTTGTGTCCTAATATCTTATAATGTGGTATATGACAAAAATCCTTTTCTGACTACCAGATAATTAGTGTTATTATGGGGTACTTATTTATTCACCTCATATATATATAGTATAAAATATTGCAGTAACAACTTAACCAGTTTATAATAATAATTTCTTTCCAAAATCTCATATATAACTTCAATATTCCAGATTAATAGTTAGGAAATTCAAAATAATTATGGCACATACCACCCAATTATAATATGGGTCATTGTAAAAAAAAAACTACATTGATGCATATTTAAAGTTGCCATATACTTGAATAGCTAGCCAAGTGGCTCTTTGAGTATATAACTGAAATTTCTTTCGTAAATAAAAATAAAAAATTAATGCAGTAGCTGTGGTCCTTGAGTTGTGATACATTAATAATTGAATATTCCCTAACTGCACATTGACCTAAACTAATTCTAACATGTTACAGATTCAGTAAACTGGTAACCTGGTATGATGTGCACAAGTAACTCCATAAAAATCTTGTAAAATATTTTGTTAATATTGTACCTAGCCAATGGGCATTGTATTATTTATCAATATAAACTATGTAATAAATCCGTTAAATGCAAGTTGTTTGATAATTTAATCTAAAGTTCAATCAAATATAAATGAAAGGTTTATTTTAATTATATTTTCTAACACAGTTGAAATAAAAAAAATGGTGTAAAGGTCTGTTGTTATTTATCATTTCCTTCCATGTAGTTCGTTGAATACTCTGAATAGCAACGTAGCTGTAATCAAATTCCAAGTTTATTCATTTACGTAAAGATAAGAAATGGTTACATAAATTACGTAAATATGTATTATACTAAGATGGGAACTAGATACTGTAAATCCATACATGGGTAATGGGATTCATAGCATACTACCGTTAGTATGCTATGAATATATTTTTACATATGAGTTGAACTCCTAAAGTAACTAATTAAACAAAGCAGACAAAAAGGTATATAAACGAAAAGTATAATGAAATGATACTAAATAAAACAAAAAATTATATTATAATAAGTTTACTACTGAATAACTAAAGACTATGACACAATAAAATGCATAAACAAATCAAAATGTCAAATAAAAAAATAACAAGATCTAGTAAAGTGAAATACTGACAAACTAAAACTTTGTAAAGAAACTTTTTATAGTATTCATTATTGTCTTACTTTGTTTACTTTTATCTAAAGTAGGAGTGTGTAGCTCAGTCCTTTTTGTTTGAATTCCATCCTTTTCACCCGTGCTCTGACATTCTTCTGACTCTTTTTTCTTATTATCACTATCAGATCTAGTGACAGTTTTACTACTTATATTAAGTTTTATTTCTGGACTAGTGGAACTACACCTTTCATTTTTAGGTTTACTTTGTACAAAATCATTATTCTTATTACTAAGTTTTGTGTGTGTAATATTCAAGTCAGTTGAGCTGTCAGAGCACCCGAATTCCTATTGTTTTTTATCTATACTCTTTGATTTCTTGTCCCTTACAGGCTTCGCGCGTACCACATCCGTCCGCCCAATTGTGATCATTTTTAATTCCCAAGCTTCTATATCTTTTCTGTAACAAAGAGTTTTAGAAAAGATTTAATAATAAATACACCTGGCTTGGTAAATTATCTTGTTGTGATATGAATATAATTATAAACTTTTATGTTTAATACATGATAATGGAATGGTGCATTCTATAGTATTGTGCCAATACAGGGCTGGTAGAGCATCACATGATGAAGACTGTCTATTATTATATTCAGATTGTTCAGTCATCTAAAGTAACACTTCACCTCTTGATAAGATCATAAAATTGTAATATTTATTTTATTTAATACTAACTTGTACTTATTCATAAGTTCCAGAGCCTGCTTTTCATATTTGGCCTTTTCACTTTCAGCCAGTTTTAGCCACTCTTCTTTCATTTTTAGTTGATACTCTTTTATATTTTTCCCCTGAAATGTTTCTTTTCTTGACTGTACATAAAGAAAATAAGATGACATTGGCTTTTTTGGACGACCTAATTCTTTAAAATCCTGAAATTTATAATAAATTATTATATTATAAAAAAAAGTTATAAATGCACAAAAATACTACATTCCTATAATATAAATTATTTTTGTCTTATTTTTAAATATGTATAGTCTTACAGCTTTTAATTTTCTCTTCTCCCGTGCCACGGCCATTTCTTCCCTCAGCTTCTTGATATCTGCTTTTTGTTCTTCAGTTAATGAAGACTCATAGATATCTTTAATTTTTTTGTAATCCTCCATATCTTTTTCATACTCTTTCAACATTTGTGCCTTGGTCTAGAAAGTAACAATTTCATTATCAATGAATAAATGTTTTTGTGAATTCATTTGAAATATTTATTGCTTTATTTTACCAATTAAGTTATCAAATATACTTTGTTCATATCTGAAACCCTATTTTCAATAAAGCAATTGGGTAGAGATGGTGATATATTAAATTTATAAATATGTTATTTATAATTTATTGATTTCTCTTGTTATTGGATTTAATTATTTTAAACATTTCAATGAAAAATGAAGAATGAAGCATTAAATACATGTGCCTGCTTTTAAAATCTAATTACTCTTAAATTTAAAAGTAGATAGGTTTATTTCATTACTTATTAATTTCTAAGGTAGATAAAATTATTTTGTATTTTAACTAGAAAATACCTCAGAATCAAGTTGTTGCCAGTGCTTTGAGGTCCATGCTATCGCCTCTTTTGAAGTGATCCCGGGATTCTTAGCAAGCAGTGCCGGTCTCATCTGAGTCATGAATTTGAAGAATGGTGTCAATGGCCGCTTTGGTTTGTCTATGCCCAACCTTTCTTCAGCTGACTTCCTGGTATAATTACATATTTGTGGTGCGAACCAATGGCCTCTGTAATTAATTTAAAAATCGTGTTAATGATAATCTGTATACATATATTTAACTTATTTTACAATCTAATAAAGTTGTTACCTTAAAAATCAAGAAATAAATGGTTAGAATAATAAATGCAGAAAACTATATTTAGCTGGAGCATGATTGATCTAGAGATTTTATATTATTATCTATATAAAACAAAAATTTAGCTTCATTATTATTATATAGTTTTAGTCGTAAATAATATACCAAGCTCAAAGTTAGTAAAGTGATGGGATGATGATGATGTAAAGTGCAAAGTTGAAAATTATTAATAGGATCTAAATATGAACATTACAAATTCAATATGAAATGTAAATGGCCACATTGGTGGTTTGTTTTTAAGTTTTTATTATTTAACCTGATTTGGAAAATTGTCCAAATATAAACATTGAGCAGAATATTCTATACATATATATATATACAGTATAGAACATTTGGTCATATTAGGCTTTTTACAGGTCTCTTGCATCGCAACATTTAGGCAAAGATAGCTGTTAACTTTTGAATAACAGTTTTAATATGTCGAACTAATTTAGTTCATAAATAAAAATCAATTAAACATTATTATCAACATGTATTTAAAAATAAGTATTTTATCGTTGTTTTCCTTACATTATTTTATTGAATATTATATTCTATTTTTATTTACTTATTACAATTATCCAAAAATGTTGTATTATTTTAAATAAACAAATGTAAACGTTGAAAAAGTTAAGCGTCATAACCTCAATAATATAAATGTATATACCTTCCGTGAACAAGAGCTTTGTAGCTACCAGTAATATAATTACTAAAGCGAGTTAGCTGTGTAAATGACGACATGTCGAACTAATTTTATTTCTTCATTGATATTATATAAAATTTAATAAGAAAAATACGACAGTATAAAAATTACAAGACCAAGATGTGCGGTTATCACCACAGATAACTACGATCACAGATCAGAAATATTATGTGGTTCGTTATCTCCATAGAGTACTAACTCATATTATTATAGTGTTAATAGCTATTTCCCGTTATCAATTATTAATAAAAACTGACATAACTTAACATGGTTTAATAATGTGCATTCTTGATACTAAAATATATTTGATGACATACATTTTCAGTAATAGAGAATAATAATAATAATCTTTTAGCTAGAAGGAAATAGACAGTAATTGGGCATTCAGGAAAACCGGAAATATCTCTGTTGACAGCTTATAGATTCAAAACAAGGTTGCCAAGTCAAGTGATTTATCGCTATATGAGTGCTTTAATCGGTGCCAAAAAAAAAAAATATTCTTTTTATTTGTGAATGTAGATAAAATTTCCTTTCTCTTCAAAATTAGTTCACATATTCATAATATAATTTTAAATTCTCTTCTCAATAAGTATTCTCAAAGATTATTAATCGCTTGTCAAATAGATATTTTAACAGTAATGTAATAATACAATGGATGTTGAATGAACATAGAGGTTAATATACATAATTGTATTTGAGTAATAAATTCTGTCATTGTTAAAAAGAATATATTGATAGATTAAAAAAATTACGTTTAACATCATGTTCGTATTTTATTAAAAATATCCATTATCTAGGTCATTTCACTCGGAATATCTCCCATTTCAACAGGTTATGGGCTAATAACTACAAATAATATAAAATATATTAATATTTACATAAAATATAATAATTAAAATTAAAAACATTAAAAATTAATATAGGAAATTGGTAGTAGCACTCACCAGTATTAAGCAACGCCGGGATCAGGATCAGTGTTAAGGAAAACCAGGACTAGGATTTTGGATACCTACACTAGTTAATATTAGTCAGTTAGCAAGTTCAGTCAATGTTCATAGTATATAAGACAAAAGGGTAATCTGTCATAAAAAAATATTATTTTCTTTTATTATTTTTACATTGACAAGCGCTGCTAGAATGCATATCGCCTGCCATTGAACCAAGGAGGTTCTTAACATCTTCTCTCGATGTGTAATCCTAGCAGCTTACTAATCTTCTCTAACCTTGGCTTTGGTAAAGCTTTAGTAAAAATATCCGCAAGCTGCCACTCACTGCTAATTTTCTGAACCATGAGATCACCTTTTGTCACAAGTTCTCGAACAAAGAAGTGCCTGATGAGAATATGTTTTGTTCTCTTGTGAAACTCAGGATTTTCCGCTAGTCTCACCGCGGCTTCATTGTCCACTTGTAATACAGGAGGATACTGTATTTCAGTAAGTTCGCTTAGTATCCTAGTTAGCCAAATGCATTCTCGAGCTGCTTCACTGGCCGCAACTATTTCTGCTTCAGTGGTTGAAATTGCAACACTTGCTTGTTTTTGACTCATCCAAGATACAGCACCACCAGCAAACATGCACAGTACTCCAGAAGTTGACCTTCCAGTACCAACGTCTCCTCCATGGTCAGCGTCACTATAACACTCTATGATGCCCTTTTTATAGTTCTTTTGATACAAAATACCCATATCTTGCGTATGTTGTAGATAACGCAGAATCCGTTTCAGCTTTACACAATCGTCTTCAGTTGGATTTTCCAAATTTCTTGAGACGACACTAACAGCAAATGCAATGTCAGGTCTCGTTCCAACCATGAGATATGCTAAGGCTCCAACAATATGTCTATAGTTCAACAACATATTACTCATGTCGACCTTATCCCGGTTTTGAGACATGTCTCTAACAATTGGTGTATGCACCGGTCTGCAGCTGTCCATCCCAAACCGTCGAAGAACTTTGTTCACATAACACTTCTGATGAATTTTTATGCCGTCTTCTCTGGTTATTATCTCTATACCGAGAAAGTAGGATACAGACTTCGTTGTGATTTTAAATTTTCCCATTAAATCTTTTAGGAAACTTTCGATCAGTTTCTGATTAGACGCAGCTACCAAACCATCATCCACATAAAGAGCCACAATGAGCTTCTCGCTAGACTCCTTTCTTGTGAAAAGGCATGGATCAGCATCAGATACTTTCAAACCGATTTCCTTGAAAAAATCTAATATACGCTTGTTCCAGCACCGAGGTGCCTGCTTCAAACCGTAAAGACTTTTCTTCAGTAAACAAACTTTACCAGAGTTATCTTCATAACCTTCCGGCTGTCGCATGTAGATTTCTTCATCAAGATCGCCATACAGAAAAGCAGTAGATACATCAAATTGCGCCATATGCATCTGTTCATTAGCGGCAACAGCTAATACACTTCTAATGGTCGCCATTCTTGCTACAGGACTGAATGTTTGATAATAGTCCACGCCTTTCTTCTGACTATATCCCTTAATAACAAGCCTAGCCTTGTATTTGTCGACATTCCCGTCAGCATTTAATTTGACCTTGAAAACCCACTTGCAGGGTATGACTTTCCGACCTTTCGGGAGATCTACCAACACCCAAGTTTTATTTTCCTTCAGAGAATTAATTTCCTTATCCATTGCCATTCTCCAAAGTTTACTTTCAGCACTTCTCACAGCTTCCTTGTAGCTATTAGGTTCCAGTTGATTACCAGTGCTCTCTCCATTTATATTATATAGAATAAAATCATTGAATTTCTGTGGTAGACGAAGCGATGACCTATCTCTAAGAATACGACTACTTTCCTCTATAATCTCATGTTCATCCATAGTTTCGTGAAGCTCGGCTTCGTCATTTCCTTCTAATACCCCCCCCACATTCAATATTTTGTTCTAGCGTATTACTTCTTGCATCATCAAATATATCTTCATTAATAACAGAAGTGTCTTCTCTATCAATAAACTCATCATTGTTTACAAGACCGTCAACTTCATCATTATCAATTACAATATTCTGAGCATCAGAAGATTCTACATGAGGTAATTTTTCATCATTCCTCTGTTGAGTTATCTTTTGTAATGCCAAAGGTTGCAACTCAATTACATTGCTAGGAAATTCTGCTTGCATGGGTTCAGACACCTTCAGTGATTCACCTCTAAGCAGAGACATATCATCAAATGTCACATCTCTTGACCTTACTAAACCAGTAGAACCATTCCAGAGACGATATCCATCATCATTATCATATCCTATTAAAATACATTTCATAGCTTTCTTATGTAATTTTTTTCGAGTCTGTTTAGGTACGTGAGCATAACATGATGACCCAATGATCCTCATGTGTTTAATCCTTGGCTTTATACCAGTCCAAAGTTCTGAGGGTGACTTGTGTTCCACTGACGTTGGCCCTGTCCTGTTTAAAATATATACAGCAGTATTCACCAATTCAGCCCACAAAGTTTCAGGTAACCTTTCATGTGCATGCATCATAGCTCTAGCACATTCCACGATCGTTCTGTTATCTCTTTCGCTATTTCCGTTTTGTTCCGGTGTATACGGCATCGTCAGTCTTTGCTTTATTCCATTTTCCACCAATATTTTTCGTACTTGTGCATTGTCGAATTCACCACCATTGTCACTCAATAGTTCCTTAACAACATGACCAGCTACTTTAGCTTCAACTAGAAACTGTTTCAATTTCTCGTGTACTTCCGACTTATTCCGAAGAAAATACACAAAACGATGACGTGTATATTCGTCTTTGAAAAGTACAAAATATCGTAATTTGGAATAACTAGATGGAAAGGGCCCACAAACATCCGAATGTATGCGTTCTCCAGGTTTCGTAGCTTTATCTCGTACACCAAACTTTTGTCTGTGAGATTTTCCAAAGATACAACCTTCGCATAATTCTTCACTATCTTTTGTTTTTATTCCCAACTCTCTATCTATCAGACTTCTTATATGTCTTTTATTTTGATGACCAAAACGTTCGTGATAAAGTTGCAATATATCAACTTTCTGTACCAAATTTACTAACATATTAATAGGCGGTACGACTCTACAATTCAGCTTGTATAATCCTCCATACCTCTCCCTATTTCCTGTCACAGTAATCATTCCTCCTATTTTCATAGTACAAGTAGTGACCCGTGATTCAAACACGCTACCTGGATTCCTATCTTGTGTCGATAATACAGAAAACAGATTTCTACTTATCTGAGGAACATACCAAACATCTCTCAAAGTCGATCTCACAGTATGTCCATTAACATCGGCCTCAATACAAACTGATCCTTTGCCTACTGCCTTGATCACATTTTTGTCCGCCGTAGTTACAGTGTGACCTTCACTGAAGTATTCGAAATCTTGAAAGATATCATTCCGCATTGTAACATGATTCGTAGCCCCATTATCTACATTCCAATGGTCACGATCTGCAATACTACTTTCAGCCGAATTCACAGTCAGTAACATCATGTTAATTCCCTTACTACTGCCATCTTTTCGAGAAACTACTTTCTTAGGACAGTCTTTCTTAAGGTGACCAACCTCTTTACAACCAAAGCATTTAAACTTTTTGCTACTGTCCTTGTTATTACTGCCTTTGTCTTCACACTTACTAGGTTTCTTCTTGACTCCTTTGACAGCAAAGGCCTCACAACTAGATTCACTCTCTACATTGTTACCGAGTGCCTTTTCATGCGCACACAGCTGACTTGTGATATTCTCTATATTCCTATCCTTCTTAGACATTAACAACCAACTTGACTTGAATGAAAAATATGTTTCAGGTAAAGTATCCAAGATTTTACAAATTAATAGAACTTCAGGTAAATCCTTACCTTCCTCTTCTTTCATTAATTCTTGCTTGAGCTTATACCACAGATTTTTCAACTTCGAGATATGTGAAGCCATGTCGTCAACAGGATTTTTCTTATATCTGAAAAATTCTAAACACAAATCATACAGGCGGTCCTCACATACACCTTCGTACAGGCGATGTAATTCATCCCATATTTCCTTTGCGGTCGTTAACCTTAGAATTTTATCCAGGATATT